TGAAGATCGTCTTTTATTTGCTCATTTTCCTTTGTTTTTTGCATATAGCAGAGTATACAAGGCATGCCTTGCTCCTCTATCATTAGTTAGACTTCTTTATGCGGTCGAATATTGGCTTTTTAAAATTCACGATTGATAAAGGGGTACATATTTCAACAGCTCAGACGAAGATCGTAAATATTTCTCCAAAATACCCGATGAATCATGAATGGACAAAATATTTGATTGAATAGAAAGCTTATTTCACCACCATTATAAAGATCCATCCCATTACTAAAATCCAACCAAAACACTCTGGTGGCCAAGCAGAACAAAACGCAGTCTGAATACATATCTGATGGTCACATGAATCATACTGGAAAATTACAGGAACGAATAAATAGGGAAAAGTCCAATCGTATTAGCAAAGGCGTTCGCCGTGATAGAGAACCATCAAGATTACCGTTGAAGAAAATTCTGACCTTACTTAATAAGAGTAAAGCAATTAAGAGATACGTAAGGTCTCATATTGTGCACAGCGACCACATTCGTTAGCTTTGAAAACGATTTTATCGTTTGATTATCGTAATTATCATTAAAATTATCTTAAAACCTGAATGTGCAGATGTAAACCAGTTTGAATCACTCGTGCAAAAGGTTCAAGGTTGTATTTTTATCTTAATTATGTTTATGTTTTTAAAGAGAACTGCTAAGCATAAAAAGACGTGAGGTATCAGTTATTTTTTATGATAAATTTGTACATGTTGTTCAATGTTTTTCAATAAAGAATAAGAAAGGAAATCGCCATTGTTTTGTTTCAAGGCAAAGTTTCTTACTTCAGGTGATATTGAGTTTAACCTGGGAACTATTACTCTGGGAAATAATCCAAACAAATACAATTACAATCTCGATTAGCTCAATATGGCTTGATAATATTAAATGTTGGTGGCGTAAGTGATTGCTTCTTAGAGTTGTTTCCCATCAGTTGTATGGGAAACCTAGCTATCATATGAATGTTATTAGTGGTGTTATATATACGATAAACAATCCAGAAAGATTCATCGAAAGTAGTACAGACCATTCATAGTGGAGGTATATTGCTAATATATCATACCAGGGTACATGGGCTGATGCACTTGTTACACAAGCAGTTACAGATATATTAAACTTAACAATCCACGTTTTGTTTAATCTTATCCAGGGTTTGGATCGGTTACAAATATCAGTCCTGTTAGCTCAGAAACGTAAACTACTGTTATAAATATTGGACATATTGATGGAATACACTATCTTTCAACTGTTCCTTTAATGAAAAGGCAATGGTAAACAATGTAAGTCAAAACAATAAAGCAGCACGGTTAACGATAGATCAGTGTACAACTACAAACAATGATGAAGGAATGGGAAATATGTGAACCAAAGCACAGAGAGGGAACGCTGATATGAAGGAAGACATGGCAAGAAGGAGAAGGAATAATGAGTTGAGAAGTAAGCAAAACAGACCTCTGTAAGCAAAATATCAGAAAATATTGAAAAAACAAGAGAATCTCTGAAGCGGGCATTTAACAAATGTAAATAATCAAATCCTGATAACGTCAGAGAACCAAATAACCAGGCATTTGCCAGAAGTGGAAAGAGGAACCCTTTGCATGAACGAGAAGTGAACAAAAGTGCACGGAATAGAAAGAGATCCTTGATGTCTGGGTTGAACCCATGTGACCATGACCTGCTTCAGCCAGCTACTAAAAGACCAGGTTGCATAGCAGTTAATGAAATATATGAATTTAAATGTCGAGATTCACAAGAGATGCACACAATGACAAAAGTCATTCAAACTTTTCACGAAAACATTAAATGTGGTCCTAAATATGTATGTACTTGCTGTGATCAATTATGGTATCCGTCATCTGTCACGGGAAATGTGAAGATGACAAATACCCTAAATGTTCCGAAACTTTGCTTGAAGCATGTATGACTACTACTGCCAATCGAAGCAGACTAATGGGAAGCTACCAGTATGTTCGAAAGTAAACAAAATGGGATTGCCTGTGAACCACAATGTTTAAACTTGACAACTTTAAAAGAAAGATTAATTTCTCCGCGTATTCCATTTATGCAGATACGTGAACTCCCAAGAGAGGGATAATTATCTATCCATGGCAATGTTGTTAATGTATCAGCTGATGTAAATTCAACTCTTAGCACTTTACCAAGACCAATCAATGAATCACAAACTATCCTCATCAAACTTAAATGAAGGTTGAGTTACAAGCATCATTATGAATTTCAGAATGTTGGATCAAGAAAAGTATTAAAAGCAGCAAAATACCATGTTAAGACAAACGAATAATTTCAAAACTGGCATATAGAAGTTCAGGAAAATTGGCTCAATAATCCTGCTACTAGAGCTAATGACGCTCTTGCAAATCAAAGTAATGAATGGAAAGTATTCCTCAGTAAATAAAACTCAAGCACTGGTATTGCTGAAATACATTTAACTGATCCAGTACCTGGAATTACCATTTCTGAAGCTACTCAAAGAAATGATAATTACACCGAACAATTAGTCACTGAATATAAAGAAAATGATAAAGATGGATAGTGTGAAATTGAGGAGAGAACTTTAGGTGTCACAGTTACTCTGTTACCAGATGACTGAAAACGTTGAAAAGATAACTTTTGCATCGGAAAAAGGAGAGAAACCTTTAGGAACCTTTATAAACAGATTCTACATTCCTCTCATATCCAACTATTTGCTGTGGTAAAACCCGATCTAATAATAAGAACAGAACAACACCTGTCCATTGCAGTACAACATGTAAGAGGGAACTCAGAAATCAAGATAAAAGAGCACCAAAATCAGTACCAAACATGTTTTATATGGTAAAAAAGTTACAGATTAAACTCATTCAAAATAGTGTCTGCAACTCTCTAAAAAGTGGGATACAAAATGTAACAAACTTGAAATATACTGCAGGTGACCTAAAATCAGATGATTAGATGTAATCAAGTTAATTCATCGATATGAAAGGTTGATCCATTTTTAGTCGTGGATACATGAAGCGTATAAACAACTATTGTTAGGGCTCCTCTCCATTCCCTTCCCAAGATCTCCTATGAATTATATCGGTGGGGTAGACCAGAGCGCAAAAAATGAAAAACAGAGGTATAAGTTATTGTTCACGGAGGGAACCTAAAATGATATCCAACAAGTCAGTCTTTCATTTGCAATTTTGTCGGAATTCAATAGCTATCCAATGGAATCTTATTCGAAAAGGAATACGGATGGAATGGAGCAAGTATCTTATTTACAACTTGCAGTACATTCATACAAATTTTACGCTAGAAATCTGTTATCGTGTATGCTTCTATGGCAAATAAAAATTAAAAAAAAGAAGTTTAAGGAATGGTGCAGGTCAAATAATAGCCAAAATAATGAATTCTGACTATTCACCCAACATCACCTCAGCAGTTCAAACTAATTCCAAGTATTTTCAACTCTATTCGAGAGGTACCTATTGGCTGCCTATGTTTACATTTAAAAAAAGTGTATGTTTTTGTAAGGAGGAGTTTTATTATAATTATTCAGAACCCGTTTAAACGTAATGTATCCACGACTTATTCACAGTTTCCTTTGATTTTTTAACTTTAGCAAATTAAGGAATTATTTTGGAACAGTATCTCGAAGAGGCTCTCAAACGTTCATTATAAAAGGCCGAGTTAAATCACCATAAATTATTTTGATTTACAGCTTTCTTCTACTCAGCTGTCGGTTTAGAAGACAATGATGATTTTGACCCGACAACCGGGACAAACTATCTCCCTGAGCATATTAGTTTTTTTTAATAAGTGGAACATGGGGATATCGCTTGGGACTTGAAGTGATTAATGCGACATTCTGTGGTAAGTTACTCTTTTTAAATGTTGCCTAAAACTTTGTAGGAAAAATTAAAGAATGCTCCCCAGAAATAGCACGGAAAATGAAAATTGATAATTCCTCCTAGAAAAAAGAATCGTCGATTATCTTATTAACAACTGACTTACTACTTTCCCAACTATCTGATCTCTGGGCTCCATTTCTCCATCTCTATTATTTTTTCATTTCCCTCTCCATTGCCCACTAGCTGTTTTATTAAAAACTAGCTGAGGATAAGGCTATTCGTTTGTTGCAAAAAAGTTATAATCTAAATTCTTCATGTATTGCTTTTTATTTACGCTCTTCGTCAATTTCTCAGTTGATTGTAGTTCACGTCTCGATTTTTCAGTCAGTGGTTGCAGTATCGTCATAAGGTATTTCGACAGTTGGTACATCGGGAACCCACAGAATGAGACTATAGATCGCATAGGTATCCCAGGTTTGTGTAGTTTCGGTAGTCCGTAAAATCTAGGTGGTTGTGGTACAGAGCACCTCAGTCGGTAGTAGCGTTGAGTGTCAAAGGCTTCGGTCTTTTTGAGCGTAAGTAGTAGGCCTATTACTACTTTACGACATTTGCTGACCAACGTTAAAGACAAAGACGAACCCAACAACAGACAGGGAGCGATTTATAAGATCGAATGCTCCGACTGCCAGGCCTCCTACATTGGTGAGACTGGTAGAAACCTTAACACGCGACTAACTGAACACAAACGAGCAACTAGAAATGGCGATGTAAACAATCACATTTCTGAACATCACCGACAAACTAATCACAGAATCGACTGGGACTCTGCTAAATGCTTAACCTACAGTTCAAACTATTTTCAACGACTGACTCTGGAAAGCTGGTTTACTAACTTAGAACAGACGCCTCTCAACAGATGTCAACAATTACCAGCACCTTACAAACGACTCATTAACGACGTGAACAAACCGACAAACAGACCGACAAACAGCAGACGGATCGAAACCGACCAATGACTGTTAACAAACTCTACACGAGTCTTCCAGCCAATCACATCACGGCTAAACAGACCAATCACGTTCAACAGATCAGACTTTATAACATCATCGACTGATAACTACTCTTCACTTCACTCTGAAGATGACTACCGCACAGATAGTGGAAACGTCAGTCACCAACAACAGTTCTTTTCAGAACTACACTCACCCAGACGATCACACTACACGAACTACTGATACTCCTGGGTTCAAACCATTTACTTTAATATACATGAAGATAAAATCGTTGTCACTATAAACATTTTAGGCTTACTGTGAACATATTGAACGAAAACATATTGTTAAGCAATATCACAGATCCACTCCGCTATTAATTCTAGCTAGCTGACGTTTTTAATATCTGCGTAGATACCAAAATAACTCCATCAATGGTATATATCACCATATCATATAAACTCCGTCGATGAAACAAAAACACCTTGCCTAGACTAAAATCTCTCTCAATAGCTGTCCTCCTTAAAGCTACCACCAACACATTATCTCCTCGCCATCTGCGTCGTCATTCCCGTGCTGGTAGTCTTAGCCATACTGGACTTAATATAACTTAAAACGTTTACTACCTCAATTTAAATTAAAGTCTTAAAAACATTACGCATAGCGTTTTGAAGAACACAGTCTTTTTTTGGGAGTCGCTAGTGCCTTTAGTTGCAATGAAATGTCATTCAGAAGTCTCACAATGGCCAGAGATAATTCAACAAAAGCTCTAAGTATTTAGCCATCTAGAGTGAGATAGTTCATGAGGCATAGTAAAATATTTTAAAGGCAAATACTTCGGTGATTTCTTCAATTCCTGTCTTGAATGAGGCGTGAAAGTTCATCGGATGTTTCCGTTCCTGTGACCACTCTCTTTTTGAGACGTGATACTCCTTGGCGAAGGAAGCCAAAACATCGGATCGGGTTGAAAATAATGTACTTCCAAGTTGACTTCATATGTAAAATTCCTTTTCCTGTAAAGTAGAAGAAAATACGGAGTTCAACTCTTATACATGTAATTAAAATCTTACAAGAAAGGGTTATAAACGGTAAGGTGTCCCTTTTTCCTGAAATTTGTCTTGACTTCCGCTCTAGCTGAGAAAGCGTTTTGAGAATGGGTGTAGACATTTTGTCAGCACAATGATTTGGATCTTTTTTGCTAAGATCTCAATAATCATTATAACATAGCTATTAAATTTGTGTAATCAAATTCAGTTGCGCGAGCGTGCTTCATATTCCTATTGTGCACGCTCATAACGTCAGCAAACAATTCCGTCGAGAAAAAGATTTTCCATCGGGTTGAAAATGTTATAAAACAATTGGTTCATACGTCAGCTGAGCGTTCATCGAGATATGAAGCAATTGGGAAGTTTGAAGAGCACTCAAGAAGCTAGAGTTGCTCGAGGCGTAGCCGAGAGCAACTCTTACGCATCTTTCGTGCTCTCCAAACTTCCCGCGTGCTTCATATCTCGATGAACACACGCTGAAGTATGAACCAATTGTTAATTATACTCCATCTGTACCTCAGAGTTTTCTGTTTTCTACGAATAATTTGTAATGTTGGAACACCACAGAAGATGAATAAAGAAAATAACTCAAATTCTCCTTCCTTCGCAGCTTCCATAGCTACAATTTTGTAAATCACATCCTTAAAAGCTGTCAGAATAACAAGGTCTCAAAGTTCCACTTAAAGGAAGAGTTAAGCTGCGGAAAGAATTTTCCAAACATCGCGATCTGTTTTAAGATTAAAATTCTGTGAGACAGTGTTGTTGAGAGTCAAACATCCTAAATAACCTAAATAAGGCTACTTAATGATTTCATCATAATACTTTCATTGCGCGGAAAACGAAAAAACTTGGGGATTGAGAAAACCATCACAATCCACGGTACCTTTCCTTGATATATTTGGCAAATGACTAAAATGCATATTGAATAAAACAGAGCAGTATTTTGACTTACTAATGGCAAGCAACAATACAGAGGCGTTAAGGACCAGGAACAGGATATTTACAAAGATGGAGTCGTTCTTGCCCTCTCCTTGACTCTCATCCCAGTCTATGTAAAATGCACCAAGACAAACGTCAAAGAAAATGATCCACAGGACAAATGTTTGTAAGTAATCTTCAAACTTGTTCTTGATTGGTCGGCATAAGGTGTAGATCACTCCAAAGACACTGACTGTTAGAACAGTAAGGCCGATTTGGAGATGGCTTTTGGATCCAAATAGGAAAATCAACGAGATCAATATCAGCTTCCGGTACATCTCTATGACCTCCCAAAACCAAAATTCTCTCTTGTAGTTTTCAAAGAACACACTGAGTCCGAACGAGACTTCTTCGTTTTTCTGGGACTCACGATATTTGTAAGTAAGAAACAAAGCCAAAAGTGGAAATCCTACTGGATATAATGCCAGAATAGAGGCCATGAGCCAATACAAGCTGTGGCGAGGAGTGAAACACTGGATGGAGTAGTCAGCTCTCAGCAGGAAGATACAGTCGCTCTTGTCGTCTGCGAAACACGTTTCTACACACGCACCGGGAAGAGGAATAATCTGAACTATCGATTTGCTTGTCGTGGGGTAGGTCGTCAACAGCAATAGGAAAATGTTCCGATAGCAAGATTTCTTCAAACTCTTAACTTCCATTACTTTCTGGTCTACACCAAGGTCCTCCTTTTTCATGATGCAGCGTTTTTTAAGAAATAGATACAAGAAAATCAAGCCAACGAGTGAGACATTCATGACAACAATCATCGTGAACTTTCCAAATTCATCAAGCCGTAGGGAAGTATGAATGCAACTTAGAGGAGCAAACTGCAAGATGTTCCCTTCAAGTACTTTAAGAACCTTCTCCGTTGAGATCAAAACGACTGGCCATTGGACTTTCGCCAATGCCGAGAAAATACCGGCAATGACTTGGTAAAAACCAATCACAATCTTAAAGCACGACATGATGACATCTGCAACTGTCCGGTCATTGTCTGCACGTTTGGAGTCACCCCAAAAAACCATTATAAACACAGCAACAAAAAGAACAATTACCAAGATGGATGACGTTATTGTTGTAGCTAACCGGGGACATTTCAAACAAGAGTTGAAGCGAAAATAGAAGCTTTCAGAGCAGGTTGCACACAGAGTCCCTTGATATCCTTGATGGCATTCTGAATCAATTCCACCCTTGCAGGACTTTGCATGGGGACAGTTCAGTGGCTTCGGGAGTGAACCATCGAACGTGGAATATGAATGGTTGTAGTGTGGTCCAAAAGAATGAATGTTGTTAACAAAACCCTTGAAATGTTCTTTTTCAGAATGATCTGTCCATTTCCAGAAGTAATTAGTAGCAAGTATTGCTGTATCTTTCTCACAAACAAAACCGTTTGGCGGACATGCTGTACACGGGCCAAAACGATCCAACCGATAGAAGTTGTGTAGGCATCTGCATGCACGATATTCAGCAGTCTCGTTGGAGATCGTACCTAGGAAGGAATGTTTCCTTTCTTAGCAGTGATAATGAAGCATTCATGAAAAGGCTTTTCGAGGAACTCATTTCCCCTCTTCTCCGAGACAATCAAGAAATAAGATTTCACCGGCGAAGTTAATGGATATACTTTAAAATACGATATCTTTGCATTTCGCTTAAAATAAATAGCAACAGCAACAGCAGCAAGTAAGCGAGAAATTGCTGTGACAGTCCTTTTATTAAAACTAAGTGTCACCCAAAGCGTATCTTAATCGAAAAAAGGTGCAGTTTGCCAGAAGCGAACACTACACTTACCGTATGGACAAGCCACGCAGTCGGCAGCTTTGGTTCCAGGACTTTGCTGCTCAGAAACAAATGTTCCAATGCTGCATCTTTTACAATAAACTTGTCCCATTTCATCCTGATAAAAACCTCCTGTGAAGATATTATAGAACATGGATACAGTTCTACGGGTGGATTGTTTGGGTCCATGGTAAGAGAGTCAACTGTTACATCCAATTACAGCATAGAAACAACTTTTATAAATGTTATTGTTTGTTTCCAACTCATTTCTGATGACAGAAGTATACCCTTGAGAAACCCACATCACAGTATGCCAACATCGTTCAATTACCTAGGCCATCTCCAAAAGTTAATAAAATACATAGAAGGAAAAGAATGATGATTCCATCAAAATTTAATCGTGTGCCTGAAAGCAAAGGAAACAAGGATGACCAAGAATTTAGATGGCATCTGATCAGTCGTCTCTCGTTATAAATTGGATCAGTTTTTTTTCTCGGTGAACTAAATTTACATACCAACAATAATCACACTTAAATTCGTCCAATCAATTATCTTTTTTTGTACTTTGGCTCAGTAAGGGAATAACGATGTACGTAAGAGCCAGGTTTTGCTCATCCAACACATATCTTAAACATCTAAAGCCACCACCGGTAGCAATCTAGCCAGACAAATAGAGAATCAACAGTAAACCAATACGTAAGTAATTGAAACGAATAATATAACATGCACTCATTTTTCTCAGACCAGTGTCGCTTTCTTACTTAATGCGATTAGAAATGGATAGCTGTTTATAATTTTTTTTTTAAAACCCTTCTGGTCTATTTTTTTTATTGTTATTATTTTGAAAATAGGGTTCGACTGAACTCCATTTGGGTGAACAAGTACTGAAAATGTCGTATTGACGAAGGGTTTTCCTGCTCTGTTAGTGTATAAACACGTTCTAACGTACAACGCTTTAAGTGATTCCTTGTTACTTGTTTTTTTACTATATCAACGATGCAATAATTGTTTCTTCTTATTACCAGCAGGACACTGTAGACAGTAATTTTCATCGGTAGACATGTAGGTACCAACTGGACATAGGCTGCAATTTGCGCATGGGCGTTTAAGACTGTGTTTTTTGTGGGATCCACAGTCATGGCACACAAAACCTGAGCGTGTAAAGCATAAACGAAAGCCACTTTGGTAACTGTCCAGAATGACGTGCAGAGATGTCGGGGGGGTACACTCACTGAGGATTGGACAATGACAATGAATTAAAAACTAGGTTTAAAAATAATGATATCGTGATTTTCTCGTGAAGAGATTAATAGCCAAGGCCGATGGCATTGATAAATCCCGACAAGTTGAAACGACCGAGATCAATAACTGTTTCAATGTTAATTGAAAATTGTGGTCACAACTGACCTCCCCCTACCTGTGACGAGAGAAGCCAGGCAAAAACTACAACAAAAGCGTTGGTTTTAAGACGGCTAAAACCCAGTGAGGCGCGGGACCCAACTGGCTTTCCGGATGTACACTGATGAATTTTAACCATAATTGGAAAGCAACTACGATTCATGCAAATGGCCGGGGGGGAGGGAGAATTTCACTTAATGACGTCATTCAACACAAGAGCTATTCTCTGGAATTGCAGTATATCATGACTAAATCCGACCAGGCTTTTTAGTGCAAAGGCTGAATTTTAAGAATAAACTTATTGAGATCCTTAAAGTCAAACGAGCCGCTGGAACGTTAGTGCAGATATCCACCATTCTATAGCATGAGAAGAAAATGAAAATCAAGGCCTACTTACATTTGACACCTATATTTTCCTACAGGCAGCATACGAAGATTTTTACACGTCAATGCCCTAAATATAATTTCATCATCAATTAATTGAATTTAAAAGTTTCGGGTGTAAAAACCAACGTGATGTTAGTTCAAAGAATTGTGGCAGTTGTAATTTGCTAGGTGATATACGTCACAAGAGCATACTCGGGTTTCCTTAGCTTTAGGGGTCTTTAAGCGACCTGAAACGTGGATTGCAAAACAGTCCATATCCTTTTACCTACCCTCCCTCCCCCTTTTACTTGATAGTTAGAGCTACTAAACGTGGAAAAAAAACCGCTTCGAGAAACTTTATTCATACCAATATAGCCAAGAACGTGAAGCCGAATTAAGAAAAATAAGAAAAGGGAAAAAAAACCATTACTTTCCGAGATGATTACGTTAACCCATGAAGTTCAGCATTTCAAAATTCCAGATAAGCTCGAGAATATAAAAAATATATATAGGAGTATCTAGAATCTGTAGGTCTGCTACTAACTTCATTTTCTTTAGTAAATTAAAAAAAAAAGTTCTACGAGCTTTTAAGCGAAACGGCTTGACTTACACTTTGGTATGATTTGCCATTTCGTCGAACATTCCATCTGGTAATGAGTTTAAAGGATTATCAAAGATGGTTCTGAAAATGAAGCGTGTATATTCCCTTTAAAGAAGATATGTTACGCTTAAGCTCCTAATATCAAGACAAATTGTGGGTGCGATTCTAAATTATGCACTTCAAGTTTACTGACACCTAAAAAACAGCAAAGAAAAACAGCAACAAAATATATCAGTTTGTTAATGTAACACATTTCAAGTTTTAGCTTCAAATGATATCACTCTATTCTTCAATTTTACTCACAACTGCTTCAGGTCGAGCCTGTCAAAAGTCTTCTTTTCAATGTATGTAATTGCATTACTGTGAAGAAACCTGCGGGAAAATTTATTTCGGTGAAACAATTCTCCACCTGCGCAACAAAAATAAAAATGTCGTATATGCATTGCAAATTGGAATTCGGAATAAGCGTATGATTATGTGATAGAATTTTTATGCCGTTTTGACTCACTTGAAATGAGACAGGACGTGGAAACACTTCTGTGTAATTGCGAAATACGACACATATACGTATTTTTATTTTATTACTTTTTTTTTATTATCATTGTGTTAACAGAATAGATATGGTAGTTTATTTATTAAGGCTTATCTAAAACGCCAAGAGAGGATAGCGGATAACACTTTATCGTCACTGGACTGCACACATGATAAAGCGTTACATAATATGAGGCAAATCTCAGAACCAAAGTTAATACTTACAATGATTTCAGGCGGGGAGTTTCATAAAAAACGTCTTTGGCAATAAATGTAAGGTTGTTTCTGATAAGCAGTCTGGAAAACAGGAAGAATAACAAAGTTCTGAATTATCAAAAAAAAATTTTAAGGGAAATGACGTTATAAATGTGCCATCTATTATAGTCACATAGGTACATGAATTAAATTAACAAATGAAAAATCAAACTGATTAGCCAAATAATTCATTTATAATCCACGACTATATTGAGTCTAATAGAGAGCATCTATAATCGGCAGATGGACACTGGAAATGTGGATCTTGTTTGATACATTTCTATGAAATTAATATAACCTACGGTATTTACGATGCTCTGTTAACATTTTGTCTCCAAAATTTTGATGAAGAAGATATATGAAACATTTTGATATGCCTGGTGATATATGAAACAATGTTTGAATTCAAGTTTTTAAGTGGAGAACTGATCGGGGGTTGAGACGAAAAGCCCTTTTAGAATGCGGCACAGCAACTCTTTTGTTTACTACACTGCAGTGGACGTACTGACAAGGTTTCAGTAAAAGTAAGTAACTGATGATCTACCGCTACCCCTTGGACCGCTTACCACCGTCTGTTTAGCTTGCAGGAAGGCTCTTGTGTTTGGGTTTCGCGTGGGCTGGGTGGGGTCTTGAAATGAGAGCCTCCCCGCAATGCATTGATTTTCGAATTTGCTCCATTTATCCATGAATGCTTCAACGAAGCATTCTGATTGGTCAGAAATAGCTCGCAAATTACAAAGGTGTCGATGAAAATCATAACAATTGATGCCCGCAATGGTGGAAATTACATTTTTGAGCTCTAAATTTCAATTTTTTGTTTCGTTACGGGACAATGCCTCCTGACTCCCCTTAGGGGAAGGGGCCTAAAGGCCTCTTCTCTGGGCACAGTCACCTACTATGTATACACCACCATACACCTACTCTATCTATCCTTCTCTAATCTATTGAAAAACGTAATTTAGACCCCTTACATACCCCTCTTTAGAAAGGTATATATAGGACACTTACAGTGTGGTCAAACTGGCAAGTCCACTGAACGTGCGTTTGTTAATGTGAGTGATGTTGTTGAAGGTTAGCACCCTAAAAAATAGGGGGGGAAAATCAAAATGTCTGTGAGTCGCTCAACTCAGAAAATGTATCGCGAAAGATTGATGAGGTATGCGAAGATGTGCCCACTAGAAAAACAAATTGATTTTTGGAATAGCTTGATATTTCCTAAAAAAAACTCTAATATTCTTAGAAAGTTTCCAGGAACTTTTCGGTGCATTTGAGACCATGCCCGGCAGTCTGATCAAAGGCGTGAAATTTGAAAGTGTTGACAACCGAGCGATATTTAAGTACGTTCAAGCTGGGAGAGTCTGACCACTGAAAACCAAATCAATTTTTGGAATCGCTTAATATTTCTAAACCAACATCATATATTCGTTAAAGTTTGAAAGAACCTTCCGTGCCCGGTTGTAGGGCATTTAGCCATAGCGTTTACAAAAATTCAAACGTCAGTTACCTGGTGTCCCAGTTCAACCCACTAATCCAAAAGAACAACTCTTGCATGCGTAGCATGCCTATACTTCTCCCTAACTAGCATGCATAATCTTTTTAAAGCAAAGAGCCATTTGAGGTTTTTTCTTGTGCTGTAGCGTAAAATGGGGAAATTAGACACAAACGCTACCTGTGAATCGCTTCGATTGTTTACGATCTGATGTGAGAGGAGAATGGTGGGACAGTTCAAGTTTTTGGCTGATTGATTGACTTAAATCATCTTTTGTAAACATTAGCTGCTAGATTGATCTCTAACACCTTTTTGGACAAAAATAATCCAATCCTGTGCCTCTATGAGACAAAAAAAATTCTCGTTGAAAGTACATATCTTAAATTGCTATCGGTCAAAAACACTGAAACACCGAAATTCTGAAAATGACGTCATCATCGGAGTAATTAATCATTTTCAATATTCAACGTTAGGCAGGATCGGGTCATAGTTTGAACTGATGGAAATGAACCTCTAAGAAAACTCTGTATGATGTCCTTTTTAGAACTTTTCCTCTTTTAGGTAATTTTCATCCCTTGAAAATTAAACTTTGGTAATAATCGGTTGCTTAGCCAAAAGGATATGATATCACTAGAGGTCTACCGTTAAAAGAAAGAGTCGATCTCGACCCAATCATGTATTATTAAATGTAAAGTTCATTTGGGAAAAGGTTTTCTTGATCTACTTACAGAATGTTTAACTGATCGAGCCTATTAAATATTTCATCTGGTAATGACTGCAATTTGTTGAAGGACAAATCACTATGGAAAGATTAGAGAAATAAGGCTATCGACAATAAAAATCAATAGATTATAAACAGTTTAATATCTCTTGAAAAAACCTAAAGGGAGACATAAACGGTCGAATCAAAAAAGGTGTTACATGTAGATTCATCCTTCATTAAAGGAACGGACTTAAATGCCATACCTTGAAGTTATCTGAAAATGCTGCAGGAAATTTCCCCCCAATTTCCAAGTATTATAAAATAAAGTAGATCTAGGCAAAAATTGAAGGGACAGATGTATTTTCATGTCCATCTGTTGTGATAGATGAAATCATAATATTGATACACATCAAGAGTGACTTCTTTTGTATGTAATACCATCAAAAGACAGCCACAGAATAAAAGCTCCTTTATTTTTGTATAAAGGGGGTAAGTTTCTAAAGAAATTGTGATGCTGCGTCGGTGGGAGAGTATAACAGG